ACAAGGCAATTAAGTATTCATGATCAGGCTACATTGTAGCCCTAGCAAAAAAAGGAGTCCAAAGTAGCTCTCCTCTTTGCCGCAACCTTCCTTCTCTTGACCCCATAAATTATGTTCCTGGTGTTGACATGTGGGCCAAATGATTTTTCTTATACCTTTTGCAATATCAATGAATATTAATGAAAAATCTTTATTCTTGCATCTCCCAAGTAACCGGATAATATTTCTTTAAAAACTTCCCATTAATCGATAACTTGCGTACCAAACCAGTTTGATCCTTGAGATGGTATGCCCCCTTGCCAAGAGGCTTGTGAACGATAAATGGTCCTTCCCAATTTGGCGACCATTTCCCATATCTGGGGTCCTTGATCCCAACTGGCAACACCGTTTGCCAAACCTAGTCACCTTCGTCGAATGTCTTTTGCTTTACTCGTTGATTATAAGCTCGTTCATTGATCTTTTTCTGTGCTACTAACATATTATAGGCATCAAGTTGAGCCTCCTCTAGATCCTCTAAATCCTGCCTTATTGCTTGACTATATTTGGCGCTAAAAAACTACTTTGTTCGATAATTAGCAATAAATTTATACTTAACTCGACTGGCAAAATTGCATCGTGCCCGTAGGTTAAAACATATGGAGTCATTCCTGTTGCCGATCGAAGTGAGGTCCGATGTGCCCATAATGCCTAGTTTAATTTTAAATGCTAAATGCCAGGCTTTTCCTTCACCATTTTCTCGAGAATACCAATCAAAACTTTATTACTCGCTTTGGCCTGCCTATTCGCCTATGGGTAATACAACGTGGACTGTTCGAGTCGAATTTTCAAATTCGTCATGTAGTCTTTGAACCTATCAGCTGTGAAAATCGTGCAGTTATCCGTGATAATTGTTACAATATTCTCTTCTACAAAATCACAAACTTCTTTATATATTAACTCAACATACGACTTTACTTCGACCACTTGGTGAAGTAATTTGTTGCCACAAGTATCCACGCGTATTTTGTTGATCTAGATGATGGCATGATTTTGCCAATCACCTCTATGGCCCAGCCTTTAAATTGCCATGGTTTGGTAACTGAATGAAGCAATTTGGCTAAGACTCTTTGAATGGGTTCTTCGATTTTACATTGTACATAACTGCGTGCATATTCTATGCAATCCTTTAGAATACTTGGCCAAAAATATCCATGTCATCGAAGCAACCAACACATTTTTTGACTAGATTAATGGGCATTGCATATTCCTTCATGAACTTCAGTAATCACTTGAATGGCTTCTTCTGGGCCAAGACATAGCAATAATAAACTGTCCTTGCACTTCCGATACAACTCATTTTTGTATACCATATAATTTGTAACATGTACCCTTGTCTTGCGGTCGTTCTTGCCACTAGGATGATCGAGATATTGTATGATCGATTTTCTCCAATCATCCGACAACATTTCGACTGTGCAAATATCCATGGGAGCTTCTCATTCGAGTAATGAAGGCAAAGACATAACTCATGCCTGAATTACGCCATCCTATTTAACAATTTGTTGATTAATAAGGCTGGGTATGGACGCTGATCGACTGGTATGACCCGACCTACCTCGCCCCCTAGGATTTGTGCTCCTAAGGCTATTTGAACGAACTTATTAGCATCAATATTCTGAATTCAAGAGATATGTTTGAATGTGATGCCTGTGAATGATTCAGCTAAATAGCTGGCGACCATGTGATAGGGCGCCTGAGTACAACTTATGCAACGAAAAGTCCCATTGAATTGGTTAATCACAAGTTTTGAATCACCGAGGATAAGTGCGTCGGCTGCCTGGTTTGTACTCGGCCTGATTGTTGGTTGTTGGAAATATGCCCTGAAAGTCAATCTTTGGAAGAAACCTTTCAGGACAATGTAATGATGTATATATGACTCTTATACATCGGAAGGCAAAGATACTAATTAGGACTATCTCAATGAACGAAATATGTCCAAAATGATGAATCCATGGACAATGGATTGATGGAAGAAGTAATCTAATAATGATTAGACTACAGAGACCTTCTTCTCATAACCATTATGTCCAAAAAGGTTCCTGGTCATAGGATTGTCGGAGGGATACTGACAATGCATAGACCGGTACATACTATGTCTGCTTCAAATGGAAGGATGGAAAGTCTCATCCCATTCGTGTAGTGACACTAAGACAAGTATGTAGGTGCTCATTAAAGGAATGAGTTCACTGAACACAATCGAACGAGAGTACTTGCATGGAGGTCTACTCACATGTCAAGCAAGTAACTCTGAAGGTTGGAATAATGTAAGTAATCCTTTGACCTAAGACATCATAGATGTCTAATGCTTAGGTCCTTGATCTTTGATAATGTCAAACGACATTCCATTGGAGTGTCTACGGCATTGTTGGGGTTAAGGTATCTAAACATGTAGGCAAGTGAATGATCAATAAGGAATCTCTAATCCTCGTTATGAGAGGAAGAATACTCTGAGATATGATTTGGGAATCTTCGGCCGAAGTCTCGAGCGTAATAAAGGAAAACGTTCCTATACGACTCAATTGAATCATATAAGAAAGCATAATCACATTAGGGGTTTGACATAGTATATCCATACCCTAGTGATGTGATTGAGAGTATTGTTTTAGAGAAGGATCAAATTACATTGTAATTCCAACTGAATAGGTTCTCCGAATAAACTTCTACATTAGCTTGGGTAGCCATGATATATGTTTAGATGTCACTCATGGCTTGTGAGTTCTTCTAGATGATTAAATGTAGTCATCAAAGAAGAAGGTGAATTAAAAGTAAGTTTTAATTCACTAAGTGGATGGATTAAATATAATCAATTGGATTGATGCCAATCACTTCACTGCCTTGCTAATTAGAACCTAAAAGATTGTTCACCAATACACTCTTGTAGTGAGTAACTAATGGATGATGGAAATAATTAATTGGATTAATTAAGTGTTTTGATTAATTTAGAAAGTCTAAAGAAATCATAAAAGCGATAAAGATCGTTTTGGGCTTAAAGAAACGTTCGGGTTTAATTAGGCTCATTGGGCCAAAACCCATTGGGCTTTTATTCAAGCATTGGATGACTTGAAATAATTAAAAGCCCAAAGCCCAAACCAAACACATATGGCCAGCCAAAGAGAGGGAGAGAGAAGGTCAATTGTTGACTTGTTTCTTTATGTAATAAAAGGAACATTATAATGAAAGAAGAGAGATGGTTTTTCTAAGTGTTCAAAACAACAAAAGAGAAAAGAATTGAACTCTCTCAAACACTCAAAGGGCCGGCCACCATAGGGGGATTTTAGCTAATCATTTTATCACCCCTTTGGTTATTCCTTCATCCTTCTCACTACACTAGTGGGTGAGGATCTTTAGAGGTTTTCAATTTTGGAAACTTGAAGAGGACCTAGGAGCACTCATTCTCAACAAAGTGGAGGAGGCAAGGAGGGAGGCTAGGCTCAAGGAGTTCAAGGAGCAAAGAGCTTGGAGGTGGTCAATCCTTGGTCTAAGATCTAGATCAAGAGGTATAAAACTACTCCTAAACTTTGTTCTTCAATAAATTATTTTTGATGCATCATAAATAAACCTATGAATCTTGAAGGGGATTTTCATGACTAGAGCTTTGATATTAATTGATGACATGCTTCCGTTGTTTTCGTATATAAATTTTGAATTGTATATGCATGCTAGTCAATAGAAATCCCACATAAATCTCATATTTTCCCTTCACAAACTCCATTGCAACTTTGGATTCCTACACCTCATGCCCTTTCCTGTGAGCAGCCCAACAAGTGTGAGGGCATTTGTGGAGCCAAAAATAATCCTAAGAATCATGGAGCTGACACGTGGATTATTTCCAAAGAAAGACAAGACTGCCTTTATTAAATGAGCAAGGAGCAGCCTCATTCACTACGCGTAGTTGAGGTAAAACAAGCAGAGATCAACTACTACTCAAGGCACCCTTGCCCGTAGGAAAAGTCAAAGGTATTTATGATGGAATAGTCCCTTATTCTTATCATAAAATACATTCCTAATAAGAGAAAACCTCTTTCAAGTAAGTAATCCTAATAAATTTATTTTGGATATTTCCCTAATTACTCCAACATATTAATTTACACAAATATCTTGAAATATTCTCACCCAAAATACCACATAGGGCTGGCCACTCCTAAACCCTAGGCTGGTCCATCTCCTCCATTTCTCCTATAAATACCCACTTTATCTCCAAAATTGAGGAAGCTTGATCTACCCCTAAAGAGGTTTTTTTGATTCCCACAAAAACTCAAACACATTCTTTTCATAATTCTAACTTTGACATTGGAGATTTTTCGGGCAAAGCCCCCATTCATCGTGGGCGCGTAAAAATTTTGACCTTAATCTTAGATGTTATTATTTTGCAGGTAGATTTTCATCAAAGGAATATATAGTGAAAATTTGCATCCACATATATAGTTTCAATTTAGTTCGGGATTACTGAATCATTAAATACGTAGTACTGAATCTCGTCCGAATAGTTCGGGGTTAGTTCGGTATTACATCCCAAAATTTCAGAAATTTTGATTTGAGATCGGGATTTTTTAGGTTTGGTTCAGGATTTTTGGAAATTTTTTCTAGCCCCAATTGCTGTTATAAAAAAGGGAGTCCTAATCAAACACTCATGGTACTGTTCACTTTTAACGTTAAGGACATTTTTTACCTAAAAATTCACTGCTGGTACACTTACACCTTTATTTTATCCTTTTGATTAAAACTAAATTTTTTTAGAACTTTTCGTTAATTTTCTTTATAAAAAATTGATGGACGATGGATCCATATAAAATTGGGGTGGACTGAGCTGTTGTGTATTTTGGGCCGAAGTCGAACACCTAAACTAGAAAAAAAAAATGGGCCTGACGGTGGCGGGCTCGATTGACAAAGAAGGAGAAACGGCAGATAAAGGGAATTTGGCTGTGAAACAGTGAATGTGATGATCAGATCGAATGTGGGAAATGGAGGAAGGCGAGAGACCATTGTGCCCACTGCGGCAGCAGGAATCGATTAAGAAGAAGAAAAACCAGCCTCAGCCTAAGCCTCCGCCTCCGCCTCCGCCTCCACCAGTAATTGAGACGCCGTCGTTGATTGGAGAAGATTGCGGAGGTAAGCGCAGAAAGAAGAAGAAAAAAGAGGAGGGTTTTGCCAATTTCGCCAGTTTACCTGTCGTCGTTCCTGAAGAAGATAATAAGAGTAAGAATAGCGATGGGAAGAAGGAGAAGAGTAAGAATAAGAGAAAGAACAATGGCAATTCAGTTGCCGATGACGCCGACCGCAAGAGAAGAAGAAAAGCCCCCATACTCGTCGGCGACCGGGTGGTTTCTCCGTATTTTCAGAATCTTCATGGAGCAAGAGGCGGCGGAGAAAAAGGTAAGACGTTTAGCAGCAATATTGTAAATATACAAATATGTGAAAATGACCTAAAATTCAAGAAACACAAACACAAGAAGAAAAAGGAACCAGTTAGTTGTAATGAGGCCGAGGACAATCCCAATGCCAATTCCAAGCCCACCAACAAAAGAAGAAGAAAACTCTCTGAATCCGATGGTGGCCATCGGGTGGTTTCTCCGTATTTCCAGAATTTAGGAGGAGAAAAGGGTAGCATCTTGCCAGCATCTGCCATAAGTTCAGAGTTGGTTTTTAGTAATGTGGTAGCTGAAACTGAAAGGTCATCTTATGGAAATCAAACCAAGAACTCGGAACAGGGAATTTGTAATGTGGATTCACTCGATGTTAATTCCATTGTCAATTCCGATCATAAAAGAAGATGGAAAACGCCTGTAAGTGTTGGAGACCGAGTGGTTTCTCCGTATTTTCTGCATCAAGGAGGAGATATCAAAAAGGGTGAAATGTTAGAAACCTCTCTTGACAATTCGGGCATTAATGTAGTAGCTGAAATTGAAAAGGTTTCTCATAAACATAAAACCAAGAAAAAGGAACATGCAGGTTCCGATGGTATTGGTATCAAGAACAAGAGGACAGGGGTAACACAACATGATAATGATAAAAGTAGTGACAGCTATGCTCCCAAGCTCGAGGAGATTACACCAAAAGCCATTCACAAAGATGAAAAAATAGAATCTGCAGGTGTAGTAACTGATGACGTCACTGAAGCAGAGATATTCGGTGATAATTGCATTGAAAAGAAGATTAAGAAGAAGGAGAAGAAGACGGAAAACCATGAAAGAAGCACTATCATGAAGGTGGGAAAGGAGAAAGAAAGGGATGTTAAAGAGAAGTCGGGGATCAATCACCAAATAAAGGCTAGTCAAAGTAATAATGTGATTTTGAGCCTTGAGGATGTGCTTGCACAGTTGGCATACAATGGTGGTGCTAGTATGAACAACACACGGACTGACGAACATGAAAAGATGGTCAAAAATGTGCAAACTTATTCTCAGATTAGTAGTGCAAAGAAACAGGTAGTGGAAGAAAAGGAGGAGAAAAAGCAGCAAAATGAAAGTGAAACAAAACCTCCTTTCCCATTGAATAACATTACCAATTCTTCCATTCTAGTTAGCGAGAATGGGGGGAGCACAACTGAGGAGCATGCCACTATGCCAAGCACCTGCAGAACCTTCAGAGGTGAGCAAGTGAGTCCAAATAGTGCAGAAAATGGACAGGTTTCTCGCAAGAGAAGGAAGAATAATGAAAAGCACAAAAGAATAGCACACATTGAAGTTCGAAAGGTTTCCCCTTACTTTCAAAAATCAAGAGTGGAAGAAGCGATGGTTAACCGGGGTGATGAAACAAAAGATAAGCCACCTAAACGCTGTTCAAAAACTTGTTCCAAGTTTGTGAAGGTCTCTCCCTACTTTCAGAAAGAACACAAAGCAGAAGGTAATGTGGTCGGACACTTGTTAGGGAGTAAAAAAAAGCGCAATAGATCTCCGGGAATCAAGACTGCTCTTTCTGCTTCCCAGAAGAAAGACGAAGCATACCTAAGACGAACTCCAGATAACACATGGGTTCCTCCTCGCTCTGAACATGGTCTCATCCAAGAGGATCATTATCATGATCCTTGGAGAGTATTGGTGATATGCATGCTCCTTAATCGCACAAGGGGATTGCAGGTCTTGTATCTTTATACATTCTTATCACTTTGTACTTGACCACTCATATTATTATTTCTATATTAGATTTGGATTACTATAATTGCTTGATCATAAAAGTAATAATTACTATGGAATTTGCATGATAAAAAGTAATAGTTACTACTGGAATTTGCATGATCATAACAGTGCATGTACAGAGAGAGTAGGGGTCTAGTAAGTACTAAGTAACCATTATAAGTAATTAAAATAAGTAGCAATCATTAATCGTTAAGTCTAGCTTTAAATCTTTTTATTTCCTAATTAAAATACACCTGTGTAAGTCTATTAACATTAGCCTTAGAAAGAGTTCAAAACATTCATGATCTGTTACTTATTTTAGCTACTGATCCTGGAAAGAATCTAATCTTAACTTATGGCTGTGCCAACTCATGTACAAATAACAGTTTGGACGTTGGTACCACTAGATTCAACATATGTAACTGAAGCATTTTGTTTAAGTTTTTCAATTTCTAACGGAAGCCACCACTTTTAGGAAATTTGTTTAATGCGGTTTTTTTTAAGTTTAACTAGATACCCAAGCAGGGAATGAATTTCATCATTATTCAAGAAGTATTAACTTTGGGGTATTTATTGGATGATGTTTCTGGTGTAGATTGTTGTTGAAAGCAGGGTACTTAGTTCTCTAGTCCATTGAACATCTTGTCTGCTGCTTTGTATAATTTTGTTTCCATGAGTGAACTTTGTTTCCTAGCGAAATCTCAGAATCCATTTCAGACTTTTCAAGTCTTGAAAATCACAATCATTGGAATCCGAAATCCTATTTGCGCTTCTTGAAAATAAGCAGATCCTATATCAAATACTTTCCAACCCTTGATGCATAAACAATGGACCCTCTGGTTAGCTCAGCTCAATAATTCATTTAAAGCAACCTATTTTCTGTTGATTTTGCCAACATAGACAAGAAGATGGTAGGAATCTACATTTAACCTAAAATATGGTTCTATGTCACGTACTGTCCTTTTGTCAGTATGGTACCAGAGCCTCAGAAGAACTTGGATGGGATTAAGTTGATTTTTGATTTTTTGCTTTTTACTCATTATTCTAGGGAATAGGCTTTATGGTTTATAATATATATTGTTTCTGTGAAAACAAAATTATTGGTCCTCCAATTTCAAGTAAGTTGACTTTTGGAATTTATTCAGTGTGTATGGTTGCATTTTTAACTGTTCAATGTTATTTGTGATGGTAGCTGTTTGTAAAAGGTGATGAAATATGTGTAGATTGAATACACTGTTCTTATGTCCTTGTTACTTAATGGACTATATGCAGGCAAAAAGAGTTATATCTGATCTCTTTACATTGTGTCCTGATGCAAAAGCTGCCACTGAGGTTGCCACAGAGGATATAGAAAAGACTATAAAAACTCTTGGTTTACATAAGAAGAGGGCGTTGATGATACAGCATTTGTCTCAGGAGTATTTGCAGGAAAGCTGGACCCATGTTACTCAGTTGCATGGTGTTGGCAAGTACGTTGGCTAATCTATGATTCTTTTGTTTTCTTATATATATTCATCCTCCCTGTATATTGATAATGCTCAAGAATGCTATGTCTGGTTCCTCTAGGACCAATGTATAAAGTAGAACCATGAACTGCCTAGCCCAAATAAAAGGGGTTTCGATATAACATGCATGACATGTCAAGATAGTATTTTTGTTGTTTTCGTGAATGACCAAGATGCAGCAATCCAACCATTCATGATAAAGTTTATGTTTCCATGGATCATATTGCCGCCTCCTTTTGACGGTAAAAATAGTAACAAATTGATGGCATGACGTGGCAGTGTAAAATGTTCATTTTCTCATGTATGGTTGAGATTTTGCCGAGTCTAAACTAGCATTTTTCCCTAACTTGAGAGGACCAAATTTGTATCTTGATGGAAGCTGAATTTTCATGTTTATTCGGAGCAGGTATGCAGCTGACGCTTATGCAATATTTTGCACTGGTAGGTGGGAGCGAGTAAAACCTACAGATTACATGCTAAATTTCTACTGGGAATTTCTGCGCAAAACCGTACCGAGGGACGGTGTAAGAGAGAGTTTGGTTGGAGAGCAGATAGTTGCTAGTTGAAGACCTTAACGTGTATAGATCCTATTTTGGGTTTGTCTTGTAGATACTAATTTTGTAATTTTATGAATATTTTGCAACTTAAAGAAGGATTTTCAGCTTGAATCTTAAGCTTAATCCTCAAGGATAAACAACATTGTTTTAAGTGTTTTTTCACTTGGGTTTATTGGAATTATTAGGCTTAATCCTCACATGTTTGTCTTAAATAATACTTGTGTCTTTGATCATATGGAAAATAGTCGCAACAATTTCATATAGAAGTTTACCACACTAGGACATTGAGCTATTTATTCTCATAACACAATATAAACAGTTTCTTTAGTAAGTAAGGCACTGCCAAACTAGCCCTTAACATTGGTGTGAATTTATGTGTCTAAAATCTTCCTTGTTTAAAAAAGAAATGAAGCAATACAGAAAATTAATTGTATGTCGGACATACGTGTGTTAGGCCATGTTAGTTTGTGTGTCCAAAAAAAATAGCTTCTTTTAGCACTAACACTAGAGTCTAGTACTATTCTTTTCCACTCCACTAATAACTAAGAAGTTTTAGGTTAGGTTCGATACTAATAAGATTCATAATCTGTCAACACTCTTATAAATTGGATGGCTGAAGTGCTCAAATTGTTTATATATAACCAAGCTATACTCGGTATTGATAAAGCATCTATTAAGCATCTATGGTGAGACTTTTAGTCCAGTGGTAACACATTGTACCATTCATTTAATTTTATCTCTTGCAGTGCATTTTAACTGGCCTATTTGTCAATTGATGTGCAAAATGCCTTCTTACATGGGCATCTCATGGATGAGGCTTATATGAAACAGCCTTTTGGCTTTGTTGATCCCCGTTTCCCCACACATGTAAGTAACAAAGGTCCTTGTAGGGACTCAAACAAGCACCCAGAGCGTGGTTTCATTGTTTTTCACATCACTTGGAGACATTAGGATTTGGTTCCTCCATGGCTGATTACTCTCTCCTTGTCTACAAGCATGGTTCCATTGTAATTTATCTTCTCATATATGTTGACGACATCTTGATCACAGGAAACAATCCCTATTGTATTACACAATTAACTAGAGACATGAGCCGCAGGTTTTCCATGAAGGACTTGGGATCTCTTCACTATTTTCTTGGCATGGAAGTTTATGGATCTACTAATGGTATGCATTTATCTCTATCCAAATATATTCTGGATCTTCTTACTCGAACAAACATGCTTGATTGCAAGCCTGTTTCCACTCCATCAATTGCTGGAAAATGACCAAGTCTTTATGAAGGGGAACCACTCAGTGATGTTCGTGAGTTTCGAAGTATGGTAGGGGCGCTGCAATACCTTACATTTACTCAGCCAGACATTGCCTTTGCCGTGAACCAAGTTTGTCAATTCATTCATCAACCCACTGCTCACTGGGTTGCTGTCAAGAGAATATTACGTTACTTAAAAGTCAACTCCCACTCACGGTACTGTGTATAGGGGTGTGCTATCCACACACCTCATTTTACTTCTCACACACCCTTTCATAATTCATGTCTGTTAATCTTCTTCAATTCATCCAATCTGACAGTCGAAAATTAAAAAGGTGTATGAGAAGTAAAATGACGTGTGTGGATATCACACTCCTTGTGTATAAACCGTGTTCTTTAAATTTAATGGCCTATGCAGATGCAGATTATCCTGGGGATCCCGATGACCGTATTTCCACAGGGGATATTGTATTTATTTAGGTCCAAACCTCATCGCTTGGTGCTCAAAGAAGCAACGTGGGGTTTCGAGATCAAGTACTGAAGCCAAGTATCGACAATTAGCCAATACTGCTGCAACAATCTCATGGATTCGCATGTTGTTTAAAGACCTTCATCTTTCTCTACATTCCCCGAGAGTATGGTGTGACAATGCTTCAGCCATTTCCATGGCCTCCAATCCTGTATTCCAATCTAGAACCTGTCATGTCGATGTTAACTACCACTACGTCCGGGAAAAGGTTACTCACAAAGAACTGCTTGTCAAGTACATTGCCACTACAGATCAACTTGCAGATTGCTCACGAAGGGTCTGCCTACAGCTCGGTTTAATCTTCTGGTTTCCAAGCTGCAAGTCCACCGCCAGCAGTCAACTTGCGAGGGGATGATAAAGCATCTACTTCTGATTCCATTTCGAAACTCAAACAAGAAAGATTGGAGCTATCAGCTGTAACAGCAGCAACTATTTCTCAGGGGTACAGTCCCTCTCCAACGTCTTAGGATAATCTTTGACTTTGTTTTTCTGTTGATAATCTTATCTTTCAGATATGTTTATAGGTTTTGTAAAGAGTCCAATATTTGTATAACTCACTGATGTAAATCTATACAAATCAATACATGCACAGTGCTCATTTCATCGAGCAAGTTTAAGCAAAACACAATCTTTCAGTAACATACTTTTAGGAATAATGTTGGAAGAGTTTCCAAATTTAAGCAAAACTGTACCGACGGACGGTGTAAGAGAGAGTTTGGTCGGAGAGCAGATAGTTACCAGTTGAAGGCTTTAATGTGTATAGATCCTGTTTTGGGTTTGTCTTGTAGATACTAATTTTGTAATTTTATGATTAGTTTGCAACTTAAAGAAGGATTTTCAGCTTGAATCTTAAGCTTAATCCTCGAAGCTAAACATTGTATTAAGTGTTTTTTCACTAGGATTTATTGGAATTTTTTTTTGATAAATAAATAATATATTAAACACTGAAACCTCTAGTACAACCACTAGTTCCAAAGTCAAATCTAAGGGCAGTCACAGCCTTAGGGGGCAAACAGTAATCTATGAAATGAGGGTTAACAAGAGAAAGGCCAACATGAGCAAGAGTATAGCAACAAAGTTTGCCTCTCTAAAAATATGATGCCAAGAAATCTCAACAAATTTTGTCGCAAGCCCATAGATATTACTAATGATCTGATGGATATGCCAAGAGGGCATCCACTCTCCACCCGCAAGCTGAATGACAAGTAAAGAGCCCCTCAACCATTAATCTTTGGACACCCTTTCTCTTGGCTCAAAGCTCCAGCCTCGATAGGAAGCCCCTCATGGTTCCGCAAAACAAAAGTCGCGGCACCCCTGCTTGCAGAAGTAGAACCATCAAAATTTAACTTAATTACGTCCGGAAGAGGAGGGGTCCACTTAATAATATAATTCTGATTTGGAGCCCTCATCTTGTTCGGAATGTAATTTGCGAAGGAATAAGCATTATCAACTTTTGATGCCACAACATTTGGATCAATACTATTAAAAACCTTGTTATTTCGGTCTTGCTATAATTGCCAACAAATTAAGATTGCCTTACTCAATTCACTTAACTCATTCTCATCATTAGAGTTTAGGTTCTCCAACCAGTCTATAACATTATTAACATGATGATTGTTATTCTTCCAAGGACTTAACTAGGATACATTCCACGTTTGAGAAGCATGATGGCAATTAAGAACAGATGATTCTTGCTTTCCTCAGCCTCATTACAAATAGGACAACTGGTATTAATGCTTTGAATATGTCTACTTAATCTCATCCTAGTATGCAATCTCTCCAAAATAAATAGCCAAGCAAAGATTTTAACTTTTGGAGGAATCTTTAACCTCCACATCCTTTTTAGGAGTGTGCTTCTATCTATATCTTGGTTATCATTATCTTGGATCCACATGGCGGATTTAATAGAAAAAGCCCCATTTGAAGTGTGCTCCCACACAAAAAAAAAAAAAAAAAAAAAAAAATCCTCCTTATTATACCTGGAATAGTAATCATACAAGTGTTTCTAATGATGTCATTGTCTACCACTTGTTGACGACCGTCTTTGTTCCAGCAATTATTCTCAATAAACTCACTCACTTTTAAATTCCAATTTAAGTTTCCATGATTGGTTTTCTGGATGAGCTGAAAAAAAAAAGGATAAGGAAAACCCAATGATGGGTCCAAAAGAGGATATCCTCGTCATTACCCACAATCCATCTGATACCATTGGGAATAATATCTCTACTTTTAAAATACCTTTCTAAGCAAGAGAATGGTTTTGCTTAATCTTGCAAGTAAGAAGCTTTCATTTCTAAGATACTTATTTTTAACAATTTTTACCCATATTGTCCTCCTCTTTTAGAACTTTCCACACAAGTTTAGGAAGGCAAGCATTGTTGAAGTGGTCAACCCTCCTAATCCCTAAACCACCCCGATCCTTGGCCTTGCAAACCTTACTCCAACCAATTAGGTTTACATTTTTCTCACCAACCCAAAAGAAATTTATGCATTCCTTATTTAGTTTTTTTTGGTAGTCTATCAAGGCATTTGAAGTAAGACATTACATGATTTGGCATACTAGAGTGGTTGGATTTGATTAGGGTTAGCCTACCCACTTTTGACAAAGTATTTGCTTTCCAGCATGCTAGTTTCTGTTTTACTCTTTTAATTAATTCTAGTTCATTTATAGGGTCCTTCCAAAAAACTATATTATTAATGCCTAGGTATGTACCAATGGTTGTTTTGTGTTGTATGTTTAGAATGGTAACAATATCATTTATAGTTTGATTACTTATGTTACTTATAGAAGATTTGTGAAAATTTACTTGTTGTCCCGAAGCCGATGCAAATAGCGTTAACAAATCAAGGACCTTACGGGTGCCCCTAGTAGTAGCCCTGGCAAATAGAAGACAATTATTTGCAAAAACCAAGTTAGCCACACAAAAACTCCTAGGAGAAGAGAGGATGCCCATGTGCAACTTAGGGATTAAAGTTAAATTGTTACAGTGTGTAATTAAAGGTTCTATGCAAGGATGAAAATGTAAGGGATAGAGGATCACCCTATCTAATTCCATGTTTTGGATAAAAATACCCATGTGTAGTATCATTTATTAGAACAGAAAATGACATAGAGGTTATACATTCCATAATCAAGTTAACCCATTTCTCTACAAAGCCAAATTTCAAAAGAACAAATCTAATAAAATCCCAATTAAGAAAATCATAGCCTTTTTCAAGATCCAATTTAATTTCATTAGCACCAGCATAACTTTTCTTACTTTTAAAGCTCAAAAACATTTCATGTGTAATTAAGATGTTATCTTGGATTGAACACCCCGAAGCAAAGGGACTTTGGTTACTTAAGATACAAAGATCCAGCAGAGGCTTTAGTCTTTTGATAATAATTTTGGTAATAATTTTTTTTTTTCGAGAAA